GGCACCTCCCGACGGGTGTGGGGCGGGTGTGAAGGGTACCCCCCAAGCGGTACTAGGTACCTAGCAAAGGGTACCGCGGAACGATCTCTACTCCCCCAAAATGAATTTCAAAGCTTTTGAGAAAAATAAATTTTATTTTTTTTATTTTTCACAAATTTTACAAATTTGTTTTTTGTTTTTATTTTTTCATATTCATTTTTTACAACCTATTATGCACCACTTTACCAAGTCTCATGACTTCAAGTCTGTGTTTTGGAGCTCTGGAATCCAAGATAAGCAGCCACTTTTCACTGTCTACCCACTGTACCTGCTTGCCAAAGTTTGTAGTTTGTCTGTCCCTAGCTAAAGCCTAGCCATTCCATTCTTGTTTTGAATCCCCCCTTTCCGCTATCCCACATTTCCATTTATTCCTTTTTCATTTTTTTCAATTTGTTTTGTAATTTTTTTTGGGCCTTAATAAAAAAAATGTTGTTTTTCTGCAGTTAGGCACAGGTTTTGCTACACACAGCAACAGTGGGCCGCTACACTAACCGTAGCGGTTAGTGTAGCGTAACACAGCGGAATTCCTGTTAGCGCTCAGCATAGTGTAGCGGAATTCCGCTACGACACCGCTAACGCTACGCGTGTGGGCCGCAAAAAAGGGCCCACTATGCTGCGCTACAGGGCTTTTTAGCGGTTTTTGGCCGCTTTTTCCTAACACCGCATTTTTTTGATGAAAAAAGCGCCGCTACACTACGCCTTTTGGGCCAAAAGCGTAGCGGCCCACCGCTGCATACAGCAGACACGGTTTCCGCACTGGGACACATTTTTTGTATTAATTTTTTATAATGAAAATTAAGCCTGTAAAAATTAATTGAAAAAGCATGTCAAATGCAATATTCAAGAAAGAGTTTTCATTTTTATGCAAAAATTTTAGACATGTCTCAAAGTGTAGGAAAAGAATTTAAAATTTCAAAAAATAATGAAAAATAAGCAGTGAAGAATTAATTCAAAAAATATGACCAATTGCACTATTCAAAGAAAACCATTGAATTTCATGAAAAATGGGTTTGACCATAAAATTATACACACTTTAAAGTGTAGGAAATAAATTCTCAACTTGGCTTTGGCAAAGGAAGACACTATCAATTTGGTCAAGTGTCTTCTCTCCAGTCTTTCTACTTCTAATAGTTCTTTGTTGGTCTTTTGTGATGGCTCCTTCTTTCTGGAGAAAGGGGTGCAAATTGTTCTTCCACACTCTCAGAGGGCAACAATATTCACATTTCTAACCGTGAATGTGGATCCATTGGGCTACTAGAGGCTAATGGTCTAATGAAGAGGGTATGCCTAGGTCAGACAATCAAGAGTATCCTCACCTTTGTGGACAACAAGGGAGTGATTTTAAGAACCAAAGACCCCTCTGTCCCAACACCTGTACAGACTCTTTCTGGTTTAATCAATGCAGATCTTCTCTCTTTGTTGACAGAGGTAAACATTTCCATTGCATGGTGTACAGGTCAAAGGGATATATTAGGCAATGAGATTGCAGATCAGCTTGCCAAAGATGCAGTTGCCAATCCTGAGACCCCCTCTCTCTGGCTGAAAGGAAACCATAAGAAGATTGCACAACTCATTTCTGGGGACTTGATCTCCAATACAGCAGATCCCTCTTGCCTCCCCATAGCTTATTCCTTGACTATAAATCAACTGACTTAAGGTCACAATTCACTGAATCACTTTCTTTTTTGCATCAACAGACAAGTTAGCCCGCTCTGCCCCTTTTGTTTGGGCAGAGATACCACATACCATTTTTTCAATCACTGTCCTCACTTCAAGACCATCTACGAAGAACTAAGGCAGGCCCTTGGCAAAGCCAAAGTTTGTTTTTGACATGGTCGCTGTGGAACTGCTCAGCAAGTGAGTAAAGAGCTTGGAGGGGATAAAATAGCTAATAAGACTATGGAATAGTAGAATTAGTATTGGTGTGTGGGTGAGACTGCCCTCCTGTCTAGCTTGCGGGAAAGTTACACTAAGAAAAATAAGAGTGTGGCTTAGTTCTAAATTTATCTTAGTGTTGATACTACTGTTATCGTTGCTTAAGAATACCTGTTGAAGAGGTAAGGAGTTTATGGGGTTTTCTGAGTAATAAGGGTTTCTGTAGGGTTGCTCTGTTAAATCTGTTATAAATTCTCTCTGGTTCTCTGTTCCTATGAGTCTCTCTGGTTTCTCTGGGCTCTGATAAAAGGTACGCTGATTTCTCTAAATCTTTCAAAGAGGTGAGAATGGCTAAGCAATATTTCTGAATTACTTGTCTATGGCCAAAATTGAGGTAAGGGAAGTTCAGGGGCTCTAATAATCTCTGGATTTCTTTAATCAAGGGGTGATGAAAGCTGAGTAATATCTTTGATTACTGTTCTGTAGCTAGCATGAGGAGGGGAAAGGAAAACATGAGCCAGAGGAGCCTCTATTTATAGACAAATGGTTCCGCAGTACATGGGTTTTTGGCCTGAACACAAGTTCGTCTGAGAAGGGTACTTCTAGAGTGGTTTTTACTACTCTGAGATGTGTTGAGTTTTCAGCCTCTTTGTTCTACTCCTCCCTAAAATCACCCTCTTTTCTTCTCATTTTCTTCTCCCTTTTTCTTTCTGGAGTCATCTTAAACTGGACTGAATTATAGTCAATCTTGTCTAGTTTTTTGTTGAATCTTATGCACACTTGAAGTCTAATTAGAACTCCTGTGGCAATTTATCATACAACTCTAGTTCTGAAGAATGATTTCTTTCTTTTTCTAGTTTATTATTTGATTCACTAAAAGCTAGTTATTTAGAATTAACGCCTCTGAATATTTGTGATAGAATTCTTGATTTTTCTTGATTAACTTTTCTTGTCTGACTAAAAGAGACTGAGAAGTCTGGCTAAGATTGTTTCTTCCAAGACTTCAAATTGTTCTGTCTCTTAGTTTTTATTCACCATTCCTTTTTTATTCAATTTGCCTCAACCACAGGTTGATCACATGTACTTAGTCTATTTAATCTGACTATTTACCTGTGAATGAAAATCATTGGTTCTTTCATTCATTTTTCCGTGAGCCTTTCCCAAAAAAGACACTCATCCTTTTTTGAGCCCTTTTTCTCAAAAACTCCTCAACAATTCTTCTCCTCTCGAGCTCAGAATTTCAACAAGATGGCCTAATCTGATATGAATTAATCTCTAAGTGCCTTCCTAATACAAGAGGTTGTAAATCTACTTTATAAGGCCTATTCTTAGATTAATTAATATGAGAATGGTATTCTTAGACTAATTAGTATAAGAGTTATTTTCTGGAACTAGTCTGTGAAGCACTTTCTAATTAGTAGCTTGATTTACTAGTCTAAGATGAATGTATTATAATTCTATAGGTTATTTGTATAATTTTTATTCATGAGAAATTGAATATCTTAAGCCTAGTTCGTGAATTAACTAACTACAATTTCGCCCAGTAATATTTATGTGGTTTGTTTCCTAACCTATCCCCTTCCCTCTAGTATTTTAACTACTATGTATACGTAATAAGGTGTTTTTAATTATGGGCTATGGGTTTGATTATTCTCACCACACCGCCTTGAAAAGTACTGATGATCAGAAAGGCCAATCATTTTGTTGCTCACTTTCTTATTCAAAAAAATCAGGCCGCTTCCCTGCTTTGGGTGACCTCCAAGACACCTTGGAGGAACCACAGGCTTCCTCATAAAACAAATTTCACCTCCCGTATCAACCTCCTCTCATTTTTTCACATCTTCTTTTCTTTTTCTTGTCCTTCTTCTCCTATATCAAATTTTGTTGTCAGTTGTTTGCTATTTTTCATCACAATTCTTCTTTTGATTTTCTCTTACATAGTCTGTTGTATGCAGTTAGGAGTTTTTGATATTCATAGTGTGCAATGCCAAAGGCCAAATTCTCACTTTTTTTAAAAAAAGCGTGGTTGGGCTCCATGGTACATCATTCTGGCCGCCACAATTTCAATCACCAGTGAAAATTAAAATTTTGTGCTTTGATGAAGAAGAAATGAACTTCAAAATGAAAAATTTGAATTTTGGAAAATTGGTGTCTATGGCAACACTGTAACAGATACGATACACTGTGTGTATCATGGAGAATTCTGCAAAGCTGCATGGCCAAAAACCAAATTTGTTGAATCTCCTTGCAAATAAAAGCAGATTGGTCAGATAGTTTTTTTTATTGGGGCTCAGATACATAGTGATACATGGCAGATACATGGCAGATACCATATCCGTTTTGGCTTTGTCTATGGTACAGGCCCTTAATTGATCACAATTTCAAGCCAGTTAAATTTTTGGGAATAAGAATAGACATTTGCAGTTTGATTCATTCAACCAGGATGAAAACAAGCCACCTGACCTTCATTCTAGCTGACCCAGTGTTGCCACTATGGCTGGTGCACATAGGTTTGAATGGAGATACGCTACCACTGCAGCTACATAGCGGGTTTTCCATCAGCTGTTAATAGGAACGGCGCGCTAACGCTACGCGCTGGCACTGGCAAAAACCCACGAGCACCGCGCTCTTCATCATACATGCAGAAGATTCCTAGAAGTAAAAATGAAACACTTCCATCCATTGAATCAGTGATCATTTCCCATCCTCAAGCCCTGAAACCACACCGGTAGCATTCCTTCTAAGAGGGAAAGTCTAGAAAGTCTGTACATGTGTACACAAATGTTGACTAGCCCTCTCCAGAAATTCGGCATATGTATGTACAGTAGATAGGTTCCAAAATTATCGAACTGAAACAATCAAGGCGTGTCCGGCGGCAAAGGGGCACAGGTGGAAGGGGATGAATGCTTCATTTCCAGGTGACACCTCTTCGGTTGTTAACCAGCTCCTTGTTTGTTCATGAAGCACTTTAAAGACCCTAATCGGTCTCTTACACATTTCTACCCACAGCACCGATGTATTTATTTTGAACTCCCAACATACCCACTGCTCATCAGCCCTGACGTCGCCAAAAAAGAAACAAGACAATGAATTTGACTCACCATGTTATCTATCTGTGGTGTCTTTTCCACTTCACGGTCACTCCTTCAACATCTTATAATTTGAACCGCCAGCACCTCACACGGAGAGACGCAGCGATCTCGAATTCGCCTTCGGGGAATTACGCACCAGTTGTGGACAAATGTCCAACAGATTTTTTTACCAGACAACCCAACGACGCTGAGGTAGGAGAAATCTTGGATCACTCAAGTAAAAACGCGTTCCAAGAGGGTGACCTTTTTCAACTACTTTAAAATTCATCTCCAAAAAAACTAGGCAAAACTTTCGAAGTCCGAGTCAGATTATATCAACACAAGAGCAGGACATTCGATACCCTCATGGGAAGAATACTTAAACCGAGTCCAATTGAAAGACTTCGACGTCAATTCATTTCTTCACAAAGCGAAACAAAATGGCGGTAAGGCCGGAGAGACGCTGCCTAACCTGGGATTTTCTTTGAGTGGTGGTGGTGCGCGGGCTCTATGCGTTACGGCTTCTATCCTTGATGCCTTTGACTCAAGGAACGAGAAAGCAAACGAAGGCCAAGTCGGTGGTATTCTTCAACTAGCAAATTACGCAGCTGGAGTTTCTGGGTGAGAGATAAATCACACATACAAGGAGTTATAATTTACATATCAAATGTTGTTTTTAATCCATTCGGGTCCATCGTCGTCGTTTCTTTCTTTCTTGACAATAGATCTAGTTGGTTGCTTGGCTCTTGGGTGAGATATACGATGGATTGATTGCATACCTCATTTAGGTCATACCAAACTCATTTTGGCCTTCATCTAATAGGCCACCTCGAATTTCCCCCGCATTTCCACCCTCGACTGGAGGCTAGACGAGGAGAATGATTTGTGGGACTGGAATGTCGCCAAGCACTTCCTCAAAGTATGGAAGATAGTGAAGAAAAAGAAAAAAGCAGGATTTCATGTCAGCATTGTAGAGTGAGTGCCGTAATTAACATGAGCTACTCAAGATTGATGGGCACTGTACCAATAATTTTTGCACCCTCAGTGCATGGGCTATACTCCTGAATCGGCACTTCATGTGAGTACATCTCAAGCGTCAAACACGTTTCTGCTTATCAGTTTCTCACCATGCTCTGATTCCTTGGCTGAATTAGAAACGACCCAGAAAATAAGGATCCCCAGACAGGCAAAGCGGTTCTCTGGTCGTCGATCAGGCAAACTTCGGGATACAAGGAAAGAAGCGCCCCTTATGTTATGGCAATAGCTACAAGCCGGCCAGAGAAGAAAACGGCATTCACCCCAGAGACTCCCATATGTGAATCCATTATTCAATTGATACTTGGGTTCCGCATATTGATGCAGTGATCTTCCCATAGATGAATTCACGCCAGAGGAATTCGGTGTGTGGCATCCTTATCTCAACGTTTCGATCCCAATGGAATACCTTGGCTCTCCCCCCGAAACCTATAAAAGCCCGTCCACTTCAAGCTGTGTGAAAGGTTTCGATAATGCCGGGTAAAACCCATTCCTCCAGTTTCTTCTGCCATTTCAGAGTGTGCAATTGATTTCTATGAACCTCAAATACAGATTCGTAATGGGCATGTCTAGCAACATCTACTCCGCTGCTGACTCTCCCGATACAAGTGATCTTCCTTCATTCATAAGGATGTTGGATAAGTTCGTGGATGATGATGACTGGGAAGGAAAGGTTCATAAATTCTTCAATCAGCAAGATGTCAACATCTTTCTCATTCTCTACAAGCTCCCCTTTTTAACTGACATGTCTACACTCTACGCGTACAACATAGCTACCAAATACCTTTCAAGGCTTAGGAAAGAATGGACATTTCCAAGACGACAAGCGTGATACACTGCTCATGGCCGACTGTGCATTGACGATGGAAAACGTCCCGATTTTTCCATTTCTTCAACCGTCTCGTAAGATTGATGTTATCATTGCCGTGGACTCAGTCAGTTACCTTCGACATAAAATTGCCTCTCAATTAGCCTCGAAACCTGATAGATTGGTCTCTATTTTCCTTGCAATCCCTCGTTTTAACTTTTGACCAGAGCGCCGATGGTGTGAAGCCCTCCGACCCCATTCAGTATGGATGTTAGTATTGATTTCGTCGAAAATTTGTAGTTTTCTGATTGGGTTCCAATTGTAGCTGAATTGACATCGTCCACACAGATCCAAATGGCACTGCGTTGTACACAATCTACACAAAAACCTTACAGCCACATTTCAGCGGGTATCGGATGCCGAAGTAAGTTTGATTCCATGGGATGTTAAAAAAAAGCTTGCTCACTCAACACGTTTGCTGTTTCCCCTGTGCAGGATTCCAAACCCTTATGACGGAAGCTTCACCAAAGCTGGATATCATCAACGGCCCACATTTTTCGGATGTGATTCGAAGCCCAAGACGCCATTAATAATCTATCTACCAAACTATTATATGATCGGAAAAACAAATGTTCCAACTAAGGAAACGACTTACTCTGTGGGTTTGGCCCCTCACTTTCCCTCACTTTAACTTACATGGAATATCTGAACCAACACCCGAATGCTTATTGCTTTACAGAAAGAACGGATGGATGAGTTCTTCGAAAACGGATTCGCGATAGCCACACAGAACACGGGCTTCAAGGCGGACACAGAATGGCCTGCTTGCTTGGCATGTGCCTTGATCGATCACCAAATCCAAAGGAATTCACAAGCAAGAACAAAACAGTGTCAAAGATGTTTTGATTCCTACTGCGCTCGCGTTTAGCTTCCACCATATCCATCGACTCTTGTCTTTTCCCAACACTCATAAACGACCTAGAAAAACCAAACTGATCACAGGCATAACCTCGTTATATATATATATATCAATTAGCAACTCTCGCGAGGCGCCAACATGATCCTATCATGAATGCCCTCTCTACTTATGCTTTCAAATCGTTCCTTTTACTTTCTTGTGATTAAAAAAAAAGAATGTTAACTTCAGAAGTCGTAATGTAACCAAATCTTTCACCGAAAGAGGCTCATCAGATTATCAACTTGCTACAAAAACTGCAGTGGCCTAGCTCTCCTCGGCTTCTAATAGCATCCAGAGATATGCTCAATACATAATCCACTTTAGGTATTTCTACAACTCCGACTCATCATTATGACGAGTCATGCGGTGAATCTCGCAAAGGCATGAGAAGAAAGCTGCAAGATCCAATTCTCAATTTGCCTCGTTTCTTGTATGGCGTTGTTAGGCTAGCGGTAAACTGGGGCCTTGCCATGGCCTCGTCAGGGGTTCGACTCCCCTACAACGCAGCGGGATGTGTCCTCCTTGGGGGCCCGAACCTCCTGAAGCTTGATTTTTGCACTTCTGCTTTGGGACGTGATGGAGAACTGAGCTCAATCAGCGGTTCTACCACTACGCAAGAGTTACGATGTATTTTTTTTTCCTTTTCTTATAGCACCCGCAATGGACCGGATAACAGACAGGCTGTCCTATAAGAGCACCTTCCAAGGTCATGCCAGTTGCTGATGTGCAAGAAAGATTGATCGTTGTTGGGGAGGAGTTGTTAAGTTTGGATTCTATGAACTTCAGACTCCAGATTTGCATCCATTTAAAGATGTAGATATCTCCAAATTTGTACATGAACTCCGATCTATCATCTATGACGTCTTTGTGGCTGTATGCAGGGTACATACACTTTCTCCTCAACTCCGATCGACAACTCTCAATCAAAAAAAGGTTATCAAGGCCACAAAGAAATCACAACAGGAAATTAGAAAGATACCCAGTCAACAAGTGAAGGGTAGAAGAAAAAGGATAACATGTTAATAGTACCCGACAACCTGCTCACGCCATCATCAGGCCATGACTCCGACAGGTCGAAGAGTTTCACGCTTTCTCAAATCGACCAACTGCTTGACTTCATCGGCCATCAACAACAACAACAACCCTCATCATCCCCTGATCAACACGAACGACTCGTCTTGATCTTCTGGTCCTCCCGAGATCCACAGTCAGTTCCTTTGATTTTGTATACAAGTAACGAAGCCATTGAGATTGATTGGCAGTGTTTTGTTGAACCAATATCTGATCCGTATTAATGTTTGTGGACCGTGTTGATGTATGTATTTCTGTAGGACGGGAAAGATGTGGTGTCCGGATTGTGAAGAGATGGAAGTGAATCTGAAGAATGTGCTCCAATATCGCGAGCTCGATTCGATCACCACGCCCGATAATAGCATTCCTCGAGAGGACCAACCAGCAGCCGACCCGAGCGAAACGGAGCGGTCCGAGGGTCCTCCTTTGTTGGTGTATGTCTACGTTGGTGATCGCGATCAGTGAGCTCCTTCCTCCCCATTCTATTCTGATCTAAGTACATGATTGGAAAAGTCGGTCGCCTATGCTCAATTCGGTATCCTCTCTACATAAATATCTAGATGGAGGGATCCTGAGAACCCTTTCAGACTCGCTCCTTGGAACTTATCCAAGATCCCTACGGTCCTAAAACTACGACCTCCTTCAGCCGACCATAACCTGAAGACCGTATGCTCCTATCTCTCTCTCTCTCTCTCTCTCTTTTCCGGGCTTTCATATTTATACTGACACTTCATCCCCTCTTTGGTCAATGTTTGTTTGATTTCAAGGAGATCTTGGTCGATCAAGATACTCAGTTGATCGAAAATCAAGCCAACGATTTCAAGAAACTCTTAGACTTCTTGGCTTAAAAAAAGAGATGCAACATCAAATTGACTTCACTGTATATGGATCTCGATCTGTCTGATACGTTTCAGGAACCATTCGAAAATTGTTGTTGTAAAAAATATCTTAGAATGTAGTACAAAAAAAACTTCAGCTTTCTCAAAAAATGTCAGAGAATCGGAGCCTGCGCGAAGTGCGGAAAATTTCCGCGCGGATCTAGTCAGTGCGGAATTTTGTACTGAGCTGTACAGACCAACAGGTCCATCCGGATTGGGAGGCGGGTTTCGGACTGGTTTCATCAGTGGGCTGGGGTCGGTCCAGTTTCATCATTCTACTAGGTGGAAGCTACATATTATAGAATATAATAATTAGCGGTGCAAGTTTCGGTACTTTCATCCGGCATGAGGCCGTATCTCAAATTAATCTACAGTAAAGAGATGATATGATGAGTTCAAGAGAGATTTCAATTTCCAGAAAAGAGAGGGGGGGAGGAAGAACGCAAGCATAAGGAATGCCAGTTGAAAAGGCATGAAAAGCGGGCATCAGTCGATCGGCGAGATCCTTAGCCAAGAAGCGCAACTGGTCTGCATATATGATCCACCAGGATGAGCTGGGCTACTAGGTCTATGATCGATATCGAGTTTTATGACCGATATCGAGGTGGATGCTCGATCGAGTCTGAGGAAGGGTACGTACCAATCTTCGACCCTTGGAGGATGGCCGTAAAACGGGGACTATTGATCTGGATGAGATCAATGATCATGTGAAGGCTGTTGATGGTCGCCTGGTTGATGTTTTCTGGAGGGGGACGAGCAAGCGGTTGCAGATGAGGGCGTCGATTTGGATGCTGATTCTGGGGTCGGTAATGTGTTGATGGTTTAATGAGATCGAACCTTCCGAGAGTGAATTCAAATCTTTGTCCCTAAGTCTTTGAATTTTTTGATCAGAACTAAGCTCAAGGGATCTCAAGACTCTTCCGCTCGCCAGCTTTATCGAGGTGCACATTAAAAAGTTCCGTATTTCTCTTCATAGACATCTTTCAAGACTGGATATGACCAGTCAGCGCGTCGATGTGAGCAGCTGAATTGCTCTTGTCGTGCTCCTTTTTTAAATGCATCTTTTTCTTTTCTTTTCTTTTTTTTTCCCTTGATGCTGTTGGAAAGACCTTTCCGCTTTGGAGAGACCTTTCCGCTTTTGGATTTTGAAACGGATGTGCTCACTAGAAACCTTCGGGAGTACATGCTGTATTTTTCCGCGGTTTCCGCGGTTTCCGCACTTTCCACCTTGCCTCGGGGAGGCTCCGATGCTCTCAAAAATGTGATGAGAAGTGTTACGATTTGTCTTCTTGAAATGAGAAGACAAACCAAAAAAAAGGAAAAAGAAAACAAGATGCAATCGATCATGCATAATATCGAAAGGAATCAATTGTTTTGTATCATCCAGAGGAGATCCCCGATGAGGAAAGTGTTTGATAGCTTATATAAGGGCTCTGCATGTGATGATCGGGTTCCACTACCAACCAGTGGGGGTCAGTGGGTTGATATGAATGACAGATTGAGTAGCTTAACAATCATGATATATTTCTTTATAAAGATTGAGTTCCATTGAGTAAGTAATCTCTGAGTGTTTAGGTAGTAATAAGACCAATATGAGATCAGGTCGAAAAATGCAGTAGAAAAAAAAGGTAACAGAAGCCAAAGAAGTGGCGTAAGAAGAGAAGGGCAAGACGGGAAGGGGTTTTTCAGGGCCGTTTCTTGCCCTTTTTGAGCGGCTTGGTTTCCAGCGCCGTGGCGCCTCTACCGCCGGTAAGAGTCCGAATAGCCTTCCGAGTATTGACCAGGGATTTAGTGGACTTGTCGGGCTCGGTGGTCGCGGAGGATTTGGTGCTTGATTTCTTCTGCTTCTTGGCCACTTTCTCCTTGAATGCGGTCGGGTTTTTGGCCAGTTGGTCGACGATCTCTTGCTGACTCTTTCGTTCTACTTTGGCCGATTGTTCAGTAGGTTCGAACTGTTTAACATGTATAGAATATATCAATAATCGGGGAGAAAACACTCGCATTTTTCTCTTTTCTTTATGTGAGAGTGGTCAGGTAGAGAGAGAGAGGGCTTACTTTGCGCTTGAGCCCTTTGACCTTAGGTTCATTGGCAAACTTTTTATCAAATTTGCCCAAACTAGCGGTGCTCTTCTTGGTGGCAGACAAGAGACCTTCGACCTCCTGTTTCCTCTGAAGTTGTTCCTCACGTTTGGCGAGGGCTTGGGCCTTAGAGCGGGCGGTATGATCAGCGATCTTAGCCGCCCGAGCGTCCGCTTTCTTGGGATGATTATTACTAGTGAGACTGGTTGAAGGACGGGCGGTGGAGGCTTCCAAGACCTTAGTCGAGTTACTCTTGGCGATCTCAGTTGCGGCTCGCTCGACGTTCTTGAGTCTCTGTTTCTCGTTCTTGAGTGTCCTCTCCTTGCGAGCTCGTTTGGCATGATTGATCTCGAGACCGGGGTTGGTGAGTTCCTCAGATGGCTTGACCTCTCGGATCCATGCATTCTCGGGATCCTTGTTCTTCCCATTGAATCCCCATCGGTTCACCCATTCCTGTTTCTCGGTATCGAACTCCATTCGGTCCCGTTTCGCCTTGGGTGCAATCCCCTTATCCTTCGAAAACTTCTCCCACTTGGTCAATGGTTTCGGCTTCGGTAATCGTTTCGATCGTGGGAGGATTGTCGTAAGCCCACTCGCGGGTAGGTTGGCTACCACTCCATCATCCGTCAGACTGGTTGGAAGTCCGAACAGTTTGTTGACTAATACTTGGATCGAATCTCGGGCGGATTGCTTTAAATATTCTTCTCGACCTGCCGAGCTGTTGATTCCCATCAACACTAGATCTTCAACATAGTTTTTTTTTTTTTTACTTACTTGTATTCAGGTTGGTCGATTGGATTTGGATCGAATGCGGCGAGCAAGCCGACATCGAGATCGATAGGAATTTCACGTTGGACAGTGACTGATTTTCTATGAATGCAAACAAAGTTGAATTAATCCTATGGAATATCTGAAGATTTCCTTTTTCGAGTGGGTCTTACCTTTTAGTCTTGAGTGATAGGATATGTGAGACGTCGGCCATCTTTGAGTCTTTGTGTGTGTTTTTTTGATGTGATGGTTGAGTGATTTTGTGTGCTGTGCTGTGGTGAGAAGAGAAGAAGAAGATTGGATCGAAAAAAGTACAGTTTTGTTCAAATTGAATAAAATCCAGTGGGATATTGAATAAAATCCAATAGCCAAGATGAGAAAAAACCCAAAAAGTCAGAAACTGCACAGCGAAACAGCCAACAACCAAAAACCCAAGAACCCACGGATGAACAGGAACTTGATCAGAACCAGGATATTGATACGAACCAGTCTCAACCACCACAGAATACCACCATCATCATCATCATCACCACGAAGAATGGCATCTCAATCATCAGAACAACAGATCGAAGAACTGAACATGAAAGTCAAAAACCAAGGCGATCAAGTCAGAAGTCTCAAGTCAGCACCCTCGGAACAACGAGATCCAACCCAAATAGCACAAGCAATCGAGACACTCAAAAACCTAAAATCTGAACTAGAACTCCTCAAAGGAACTAGCAGTACAGCTCAAGAACCACCCAAATCAAAAACAAGCAACCAACCACATGCTAAATCAACCAAGAAAGAAGTCATGACCAAGTTCCAACTCAAAGTCCCAAAGGGCACTAAAGATCATCATCCAAAGGAAATGCTCATCAGAGAAAAGATCTTCTCGACGATCACCAGGATCTTCAAACTCCATGGCGCAGTCACGATCGACACCCCAGTATTCGAACTCAAAGAAATCTTGTCGGGCAAATACGGCGAAGATTCGAAATTGATTTATGATTTGCAGGACCAAGGTGGTGAACTGTGTAGTCTAAGATACGATCTTACCGTTCGTTCTCTTTCTTGCCTTTCTTTCTCTCTCTCTATATATATATATCCTTAGATAAATTTTGGATGCTTACTATCCTTCTTGTTTCATATCGTAGGTTCCCTTTGCTAGATTCTTGGCTATGAACTCGAAAGAATACCCGAGCATCAAGAGATACCATATCGCTAAAGTTTACAGGCGAGATCAACCCGCAATGACCAAGGGAAGGATGAGAGAATTCTATCAATGTGTCAGTCCTCCTCAAATCACGAGAAATTGTAACCAATAATCGATTGAAGAGCTTGTTATTCCCCAAAGGATTTTGATATTGCTGGGGCGACGGATCCGATGATCGCAGATGCTGAGGTATTGACGATTGCTTGTGAAGTATTGGAAGCGTTGGAAGTTGGCCCATTCACGATCAAGGTTACTAAAAAAACTCTCATCTTATTACTACTACTTTTATCTTTTTTGTGTCAGAAATCTTACTAACAGATTAATTTCAATTACTGTTATCGTTTAGCTCAATCATCGAAAATTGTTGGATGGGATCTTCGATCTATGTGGGGTACCTGAAGACAAATTCCGAGCGATCTCTTCTGCCGTCGATAAGCTAGATAAGGTATCCCTTCTTCTTCTTGTCTTTCTTTCTTTTGATCCATGGAAGTTTTGTTTTAAAGGTGTTTTGTTCTTGTAGATGGCTTGGATTGATGTTCGAAAAGAGATGACGGAAGAGAAAGGTTTGGACCCTCAGATAGCTGATCGGATCGGAGAATATGTCAAACTCAAAGGTTTGATCTCATTCATTCTACATCAGATCATTTTTTTTCATAACAGTTGAATTGATTGAGGTTTTTGGGCTATGATTTTTGAGTATGTAGGCTCTGAAGATCTTCTGGCTCAGCTTTTCGAAGATCAGACTTTGGTTGCTAACAAGACCGCCAAAGAAGGCCTGGAAGAAATGAAGTTGCTGATGTCATATATGAACGTCTTTGGTATCATGCCCAGAGTTTGTTTGTTTGATTTAAATTGTCTTTTTTTATCAGTAGTTTTCGTCGGGGGGGGGCGGATCGAGTTGACACATGTGACCTGATTGTGGCCTTTTTTGGTTTAGATTTCGTTTGATTTGAGTCTAGCCCGTGGACTGGATTACTATACGGGTGTTATATATGAAGCGGTAGTTGAAGGCTCAGCACCGCCAGTCAAAGAAGCGACGGCGAGTGCCCCAATGACGACGGAGGAAGCGGTAGGGGGGCCAAGCTCTAAGGCTCGATCGACGAAAGCGAAACGAGATGAGACGGGCGAGGCAGCGGAGATCGATGATGAGAGTCAGATCGGAGTGGGGTCGATTGCTGCAGGAGGACGGTACGATAACTTGGTGGGGATGTTCTCGGCCGGTAAGGATAAGATCCCCTGTGTTGGAATCTCCTTCGGCGTAGAACGGATCTTCTCAATCCTCAAATCCAAGGCCGCTCAGAATCGGATCGATAATCTGCGTGGTAAGGATGTCGATGTCTTCGTCATGAGCGTCGGTGATGGCCTCTTAGTTGAGCGGATGAAGCTATGTAAAGAGCTGTGGGACGCCGGTTTAAGTGTAAGTAATCCGCCGTTGAAGCTTGAATGGAGTGTACACGTGGTCAATGCTGAGACTTTTGATTATCTTGAACTAAAACATATACATATATTATAAAAAAAAAGGCTGAATTCATGTACAAATCTAAACCGAAAACTCAAAAACAATTCGAGATAGTCGATCGAGATCAGATCCGATTTGCAATCATCCTAGGACCCGAAGAACTTAAATCAGGACATGTGAGGATTAAGGAACAAGTAGGTAAAGAAAGTAACTTGCATGCGCAAGACAAATCTGGCGTTGTCGTTGAACGGTCGCAGATGATCTCCTTGTTGAAAGAACGCTTGTATAATCCTTCTTAAATTCTTGCCCCCCATCTTTGCTTGACTGTTTCAGTACTTTATCCCCCCAAAAAATCCCTCTACTGTGTTTTTTTGCATATAGATTAATATTCCAGGGTCTATTCTGTGTAGAGATTCAAGAAGAAACAAAAAAAAGCAAAAATACATCTACTAGGTTTTTTTTCATGATACCTTAACTAATCTTGATAATCAATACTTCTGTATAAATATATCAAGGAAGAGGTTATTGGGAAGTTTTTGAATCCAGCTTTGATATATGGAGAATTAAATTGGATGTGAAAACAAAAATCAAATCAGAGGAATTTGAAAAAAGTGATCATCAGTTGTTGTTAAACTGGCTTGGGGAGTGTGGCCACTGGCATCCAAAAGACTGACACTGCAATGATCAATTGCTGATCAGGCACTGAATTGACATTGAATTTCAATATCAAAATGGTTTTTTGATCTACTCTTTTAGATGTGAAGAAGCAAGGTATTTTAATTCTTTTGTTCCATTCAAAATCTATAATCTTCAAGTGAACCAGTCTACTTTGTATTAGGGGGGTTTATGCCTGAGCTTTTCCAGATGTGATTCTAAGGAACCCTGTGACAAATATATCAGACATATATGGCATGCATGGAAACTATTTGAGTCCCTTGCTCCAGACTGACTGCTGAATAGACTCTATCCTTTCTTTCAATGCCATATCTTCAGGTATTGTTTCTATGTGCACTGAAGCTATGGTGTTGCAGCTTATGGACAAGCCTAAATCATTAGTTTTTAGAAAAGAATGACAAAAAATGGAAAAATAACAATCACATTTTTATATTTACTTGACTTTAAAAAAGCTTCATTGGTTGAGAGAAATCCCTGGAAGTCAACAGCTGCTACAGAAACAATCTCTCAAGACTTTCCCTGGAACCATGACACCTAATCAAGGCTGCATTTCTGCAGCAAACACCAATATCATCCGCATTGATGCAGGAGGGTTACGGAGTCCACTTCATCAAGAAGTAAAAAGGTTAAATCTGAAGTCATTAAATTCGATCACACGCGGGTGGAGATTGCTAGGTTTATAAAACTCTACTGCGTTATAGAAACATGACCAAATAATACATTGAGAAAGACGATGGAGCAAGATTATGGCACACAAAACGAAGCAAGAACGGCGGGGTTGAAGGGAAGTAAATGAATTCAAAAAAGGTACATGGTGGGCAGACTGCAAGTTATCTCTGAATGACGAGTTAGACAATTGTGGAAGTGAGTTAAGAAGACTATTGAGGTAGGAAGTGTTTCAGGGGCAACAAAAGAGAATGGAGATGGAAGCTAGCGGTTACAAATGAATGATGAAGACGGCCAAGCAAGGCGTAATAAAATGCTTCAAGTAAATGTGATCAGTATTTGGATAAAATCATATTAGCTGAGTCGTAGGTGTGAAATGCCTTTGAGCTTCGAGAATATTCATGGGGCTTGCGTCGTGCACCACGGTTTTGTTTTTACTTCTGTGAGCAGAGTGACGAATGAATGGGTTTTTTGATAGTTCATCTTGCGAGTGGCAAGGGTTAATAGTTTATGTAGACGTTAAATATTGGTCCGCGAACCAGGCCGTGACGCCGTTTTCGTCGATAAAACTTTCGGGCCGAGGCTCGACCTTGGAATTGATTCGGCGACGTTGTCGGCGAGAAGGGCTAGATGGATGATCATCTTCCAAGCCATCTAATACTTTATCATAATAGAATGGATCCCGACTACTGGGGTTAGAGTGATCATCCAAACACTCAGGTTCAGGTTTGACGACACGAATTATCGGTGGTGGCGGTGTGGTACCAGCAAAGGAAGTTGCCCGACGTATGACATGTGATGGAGGAGCGAGGAAGGCTACGGCTGGATGGTCATGCTGAGTGAGAGCCGCCGTCGTCAATGCGACGGGCGCATCATTACTGGAAGCCGAAGTCACAGAGCTGCGATTTAGTGGTTCGAAAAATGAAGGCAGAAGGCTTTGTCGACGGGTCTGCTTGCGGACAAGCCGTTTGCGCTCAGAGGCGGCTGGTGTGAGCTTTATCGAGTCCATTGACCCCTTAGAAGACAAGGTACCATCGTAGCTGAGGTTCGTGGGATCTAGATTGTCCAGCACTTCTGGAGGGGGTTCTTCACCGCTTTTCAAATAATTTCGTAGGATTAGGCGTGTTTTATTCGCAGCCTGTCATTTCAAGCACCAAATCAAGGTAAGCATGACTGTCGGATCACAAAGGGGGAGGGGCCTAATGACCATTTACCTCTTGTTTTTTGCTGATTCGGGGATCCGACTTCAAAGCTGGGCCACTGCCAAGAGGCTTCGACCAATGTCTGGGTAAGGTGGCGGTGGCCCGAGCCACAGAATAAGAGGAAGGCATTCGATGATTGGTCATAGATGAGTGGTTTCTTATGTTCTTTATTTTCTAAAAGCTACAGCCAAACGGTCGTTGTAGACAGGTTGCACTGAGCCAGGTGAATGAATGAAACTTTCACCACCAGGTGAGTGGGCTAAGGGCCAATTGGAAGCTGGGATAGTGTTCCTTTCGCTGTGTCACCTCACTTGATCAAGCCCTGTTGAGCGGAGTCGGGTGCTTGCGGAGAAAATTGACTTGATGGCGCCTAGTTGAGGGGGCTCGAAAGTTCTGGCTGAGATGAACAAGAACGCAGATTTATTAATTGTCGTCACAACTCGTCAATGGATTCGTACTAGTTGGTGGGTGGTTGAGACCTGAGCTTCAAGTAAGAATAAGGCGCATTAGATCTGTGGCTGGAGGGGGTTATTTAAGTGCTGAAAGCAAACCGGGGAAATGGGGCTCCCAGCCGGTGTATCAAGGCAGACCTTATAGAGGATTGAAGACAGTAGATGAAGATGGACTAACAGGGTTTCGCCGGCCTCAATTGATAGCTTCAACTTGCTTCAGATGGCAGGAAAGGCTAGCCGAATCAGGAGAAAGGAGTGTGTTCAAATAGACGCACAGAGGTATGCGGAAATTTTTGCCGGCTGTCCCAAGAAAAGGGGACTGGAAACTTCTCAAACGCTAAGTGAAGGGGATCAAAAGAGTTTGAGGATAACTGGCTGTAATTCCGATCATGGGATAAACGGACCTGGCCGGGTTATCCTAATTATATCTTTTGCAAAGCTTGGGAACGAGAAACGAGCCAACAGGGAAAAAAGCGAGATGTAAGGCATACTTCCCAGTGAGCTCAGCTGAGTTTCAGCTAAATAATATGTACACGTTTTCTGGCAAACTTCATCCAAATTAGGGCATGTCACGTCGCCTCAAATCTTCAAGCGATTCCAGGAGATGGATTACAAGGAAGCACGAAATTACGTCGAAGTTGACAGCATTCGGATCCTTTGATGTAAACCAATCAATCAGCATTCTTGGTTCAAGCGTGAAGGACTCGACCTTGAAAAGATGCACTCTCAGGCAATAGGTTGTGGCCAAGTGTCAAGTCAACTCGGCAAGGCTGTGCTTCAGCGCCAGAGGGCTTGTAATTAAAGAACTCATCCCGCTTGCCAAATTTGGCGCAAATCCAAATTTAGGTGAAGTCTAGAAAGATACGTCTCATCTACACGTATAGCTGTCAAGTAGACGTCTCTCTGTCAGCTTTTGACGCAGGTGATCGCGAGTAAAACCAATCTTCAGGCGAGACAGGTATCCAGATGAGCAAGCGCTGGCTCATCGTCAAGTTCAAAAGTACCCTCCAGAGTCCAGACATCTTAAGACGGGCTCACATTGAGGATCGCGGGTCACCGCCCCGCAAGCAATGTTGAACACAAGCACCCGGGTGTGGAAACAGGTAGTGTGTCACTGTTGCATCATAAGTAAAATTTGGACGAACTGTCCTTTCGAGTAAGAAATAACGCCTTGAGCAAGTCAAGACATGGGACTGTCGTGACTGAAGATAACGGGGCATCATGACGACCATCAGGCTGAGCCATGTGAACTTCGTTCTCAGATTGATTCTCCAATGCCGACGTTAGTCTTGAAGATAATTGGATGTATCCGTTGGCTCGATGATTGATCATCAGGCTGGAAATGAACCGTGGCATCTGCCACAACCTTGATCCCGAACTTAACGAAGTCCCTCCCTCCTACCCGTGGCAGCGCCCTTCTCCCCCCTCCCCACAGATGCAGCAATTCCACATTAAAATGATGGCAGTTCGGTTGAGAATTTTTTGTGACCAGCCAAACTTGCCTGTTTAAATTGGCACCACGGTCAACCTGTGACTGCACAGCAGCAATGTGTGACTGATTACCAGGTCTGGCCAAAATATTGCTGTTGACCCTCCTATTAGTATTAACGCAATGGTGAAAAGAACTTTTTCAAAAGTCTAGAGAGAAGTTTGTGCAACTGATGTATATCAATGATGCTGGAAATACATGCAATAATGCAGGCAGCAGTCTGACCCCAATGGCTACAAATAAATTCGATCTCAAAAGGTGACTGCACAGACATGGCATTTCACTTTTCTGTTAAAAATGGTTTCATTCAAAGTGGGTGGGTAAATTCAAAAACAGCTGTTCAAAATTCCTTATGGAGCTTTGAGTATCAAAACAACACAAAGCAAGAGTTGTTAGATACCTTTCAGCATAGACAAGAGTTAAATTGACAGGTCCCAGCCCAAATCACAGGCTATATTGTTAAAAAAATTTTAGCTATGCAGTTTTGAATACCACATATGTTCTCAAAAATCCCTCTATATATATTTTTGGAATCAAATTTATAAAGTAGAAATATGATTGTTTTTGTGTACTTCTGAGAAGAAGTCAAGTCATGTAATGAATTTGGGGTTCTTCCTCTCAGCTCTTGATCAGTCCCTTCAAAACCTGATTCACAACCTGTTGAATAGAATCAACAACACAACTGTTAAATCATATTTAGCATATTCTCAGTGTAGTTTGGCCTTTTTTCCACCATGTCATACAACACATTTGACCTCATCACTCAAAGACATTTGAAATCATAATCTTCAGCATTTTCAGACACTGAGACACTAGACTTAGTACATGTGTCCAAATGAGATTGTAACCCCTTAAGGCTACATAGAGATGGTCAAAGGGTATCCGTCGCGGATACCCGCTATCCCCCCGGCGGATACCCGCTATCCCCTGGCGGATACCCGCCAGCGGGTGCGGATTTGGGTGTGGATGGCCCCTTTTCCGCAAAACACTGGCAGTTATCCGGGTATCCCAAAGGATACCCGAGGCCAGAAGGGTAGATGGCCGGCTGGAAGGGTTTCCTTCCAGCCATCGAGGTACATGTACCTCGTCAACCGGAAGGAAACCCTTCCAGCCAGCGAGGTACATGTACCTCGTTGACCGGAAGGAAACCCTTCCAGCCGGCAAGGTACATGTACCTTGTTGACCAGAGGGTTTCCTCAGTCGACGAGGTACATGTACTTCGACGGCTGGAAGGAAACCCTTCCAGCCGGTCCCTCGCCGGCCCTTTAAAGGGCGGGTATCCGAGGATACCCGCTCAGGCGGGGGGATACCCGCTAGCGGATGCGGATGCCGGTGCGGATGCCGGTTTCCCTAGAAAAAGCAGCCGGATATCCGGATGCGAAGCGGCCATCTCTAAGGCTACATAATTGTTGTTATTTTAGTTATTCTTTGAATTAATATACATTTGTCTCTCTTATGAAAAAAAAACATGTGTGCACTGTGAAAAGCTAATTATCTCTCTTGATTTTATTCATCAAGGAAAGATTGTTCTCATTTGTTCATCTCTCTTGTGTTTATTCATCAAGGACAGATTATTATTTGTTTGACTTTTCTCTTGTGTATCCCATAAAATAAGAGATATTCAACCTGTGGACATTGGAAAACTTCCTGTCAACATCTGCGGGTCTCCCAGAGCCGGTTTAGAGCCTCAAAATTCAAATTTCTCTGCGAGAATCAAGATTTTTTGGGTCTCAATCAACTTCTGTGAGGGTCCCAGATCCGATAGGACGTCCTCCATTTACAATGCCTTGAAAATCATGACACCTTTCCCCAAGTAAATGGTGTAATTATATGGGGACCACACTGGTCTAGAGATGGTTGCGGATATCCATTATCCGTTGGCGGATACCTGCCAGTGCCAATGGATACTCGCCAGCGGGTGCGGATTTTGCCTTCCCCCTGAAATCCTGGTGGATATCCGGGTATCCCAAGGGGTACCCGGTGCCAAGAGACTGAAATAATGGAATTTTTACAAAAAAAAAAAAACGGCCCCCCCCCCTTGGCCTAGAGAAGCAGAGGCCACACCACCGGGAGGAATCTCTCGCAGCAAGCTGGTCTGTGTACCAGCTTGTTGGGAAGGATTCATTCTGACAAGCTGGTTTAAAAACCAGCTCTCCAGGAGGAACCGCTCTTGGCAAGCTGGAATGTATACACTCTCCGGGAGGGGTTCCTCCCACTGGTGTGGCCTCTGCCTCTCTAGGCCAAGGGGGGCTGGGTTTTTTTTTTTTTGAAAAAAAAATCCCACTCTGCTGGAAGGATAATGCTGGAAGTTTATCCTTCCAGCTGGCAATTGTTGACCAGTAAAAGGGAGGGTATCCGCGGATATCCGCATGGATACCTGCCAGCGCCTGCGGATGCAGATGCCTGATTCTGCTGAAATCATGAGCGGTGTGGAACTACTCTTTGGTGGGAATAGAGCTTAGAGAGGGATGAATGCTTGAAGGGCTGCCTCTCTGGTTCCTGGGAGAGTAATAAGAACAAGAAATAAGAGTATGGGCTCTTAGAGAAAGGTAGGGATAAATGAAGATGTAAGATTTGTAAAAGGGTAAGGTATGAGGATAACAAGTCTTTGTGAAATGTCTTAATTCTGTAATTCTAAATATATTCCAAGTATGTAATGCTAAATCAATGACCAGGGAGCAATAATGACAACTCTGATGGGGGACAAATGGCAAGGGCCAAGAGAGCACTACATATAAGTCTTATAAGAGGGGATAAGAAAACAAGGGACAAGGCATCATCACAGGGTACATGTAACAAGGCAACAACATGCCTTGGGAGACAGGCTTGGGAAGGACACATGTAGCAAGGGTGAAACAAGGCTGAGACAACAGGGATGAAAGATGAAATATGTAGCAACTGTAACAATCTGCCATGGTATGTAATGAAGAGAAAAAAAGATGAATAAGAGCAAGGGTCTTTCCTAACAGTCTGGCTCTCTGGACTGTTGGACTTTCTACCACTTTATACCTGATTTGTATTTATTTTATTACCAAGTGTGGCTGGTAATCCATGTAGGGTGTTATTGATGGGTTGTTAAGTCTGGTGGAGCTGATGGTATTGTCTATGGAGTGATTGAAGGTGGCCATGAGTGTATTAAATATGTAAGATTTTGTTTTGAGGTTTGTTATGATATGTAGAAATAGTGAAGTGAGTCCAAAATAGTGCCAGTAGAGTGTGACTGGTCTTGATTGGTCTTACCACAGCAGATATCCGGATGCAAAGCAACCATCTCTACACTGGTCCCACAAGCAGATTTACCTCTGCTTTGCAATTCTTAAGGGGAGGCTGTTGTTGAACTTATAACAGCTTAGGTACTTGGAGATTCATTCTCATCCTGCTGTGGTGCTGCGGACACATGGGGAAGTGAGATGGACAAGGTTCAAAACCTATATTTTTCTAGTTTTGATCCACTGTGTCTCACTTGCCCATCTCTTTGTGTCGAGATTTGAGCTTGATCCCTCTCAGACTCTAGCAGTATTTTTCCTAAACGAACCATCACTTACATAATTGGTTACATAATCAGTCCGATTCAGAATGACATCATCAAATCATCTCAACTTGTCTTTCTTATATATTCCTCTCCTTGTCTGAACCTATTCCTTCTTCCCTCATGACTCCGTAAACATTAATTATTAATCATTCATCAATAAGATTGAATCTCTTTTCCTTCCTCCGGCTTTGTCGCTGTTACTCTCTCATCCTTACATTGAACAACTTCTATTTCATCATACTATTGATCATTCTCTTCCTTACCTCAAAAGTCGTCTTACTGTTCTATTCAACTCTGATCGTCACTCATATCTTTGCAATCCTCTCCCTTCCATTCCACTCTTTGCCAACTTTCCCGCTGACTTCAGCTCCCTTCCATTTGACTCTCCGCCAACTATCTTACAAGTCAAAACAGTCTTCTCTATCATAGGTTCTAATTGGGGAGTGATAATCACACTCCCTCCCCCTTTCCACACACACTCCCACACTCCCTCCTCTGAAGGGAGTGTGGGACCGCACTCCAATTTCAATTGGAGTGCGGGTTCCGCACTTTCAATCTGCAGCAGGGTAGATTCCCTGCAGATTGGTGTGCGGCCCCACACACCAATCTGATTTGGTGTGTGGGCCCACACTCCCTTCAGAGAGGGGAGTGTGGGAGTTTGGATGTGTATACTTTGATATACATATGTACATACTCCCTGGGCTATCCCATAGGACCCAGGCCTGGGTCCTATGGGATAGCCCAAGGCTTGAAGTGGTTGAAAAAAAAAGACCTGGGGCTGGGAGGAACCACTCTCAGCCCCAAAATTGGGGAGGCCTTGAGGAGACCGTGAGGATGATAGCGCTGACAGACGGCCAGCGGAAGGCTTTCCTTCCGATGGACGAGGTACATGTACCTCGTCCATCGGAAGGTTTTCCACTTCCGGTGTCAACGAGGTACTGTACATTCCCCCGTCGGGAGGGGTTCCTCCCGGCGAGCCAACTTTCAAACCAGCTCGTCGGAAGGAATCCCTTCCAACGAGCTGGTGTACGCGCCGGCCGACGACAATCAATCCCGAGCCAAGTGCTTCCACTATCTTCGATCCTCGATCAACCAACTCAACACACCCAACACAATATTGATGGCAGCTTATACCCCAGCTGACCGCCGTGACCAGGTCTATCTAGGATTCTTCCTAATCCATGCCATCAGTGCAGTCTGCGTCGGTCAGTCTCTCTCAGATCGGCGAGATCATACTTTCAGACCGGTCTGACTGAACCATTGGTTTTTTCCCCTTAATCCGACTTGCGATCAATGACTACCACGTCGCTTCCGTTGCATCCTCCCACATCCTGTTGATTCGGACCGATAGATATCCAGCCTCTGCTTCCACAGGCCGTTCAGCTCGATGTCTTCAAACGACTTCTGGACTGTAAGCATCCTAGGTCCAACCTGTACAATCCGCTGAAAATGAGTCTTGAAGGAGAGAGGTTGCTGAAATTTTTGCGTGCATCAGTCTCGTCGGAAGGGATTCCTTCCGACGAGCTGGTTTAACACAGAGACTGTACACTCTCAGGCCGAGAGGGATTCCTCTCGGCCTCAAGACTATATCTCTTGCAATGATTCCGACCACTTTGAGATTGTCGTAATTACAGCAGGAACGAATGGCAAGGACAATCGGCAAGCAAGTTTCAGGATGACAGAGGATCAATGGAGTGTACAATTCTCAGGCTTCAACATAGATCTGACAGTAGCCTCGGCCGTTACTGGTAGTTGATTACACCTTGAGCCAACCCTTTGCCGATGAAGCTTCAGGATTTATTTTTGAAAGAAATACATAAACCAGACTCAAAACCTCTGCCGAGACCGTACAGGTCTCAAGGCCGAGAGGAACCCCTCTTGGCCTTGAGACTGTACAAAATCTCAAGGCCGAGAGGGATTCGCCATGTACAGTGTCAAGGCCAGGAGGGACCCCTCCCGGCCTCAAGACCCTACATACAGTCTTTTGGGGCTGCGAGCCCCGCATCTTCAACGGCCTCAAGTGCTGGGCTATCCCATAGGACCCAGGCCTGGGTCCTATGGGATAGCCCAGGGAATATGTACATAATGCATAAATATACACATGTGAATTCCCACACTCCCTTCAGAAAGGGAGTGTGGGACCGCACTCCAATCAAAATTGGTGTGCGGGTCTGCACGCCAACCTGCTGGGGGAATGCCCGCGCAGAGGGTTGGAGTGCGGACCCGCACTCCAATTTCAATTGGAGTGCAGTCCCACACTCCCTTCTCTGAAGGGAGTGTGGGAGTGTGTGTGCGAAGGGGGAGGGAGTGTGATTATCACTCCCCGTTCTAATCATCTTTCAGCTCTATCTACTGGATGACAGATCTCTCCTGACATTTTCCATTTTTAGTCGTTCTCCTTTTTCTTTTGTCTCCTTGTCATTGTTGTGTCCTTTTTACCGTTGCTCCTGCCTTAAGGTACTATTTCATCTTCTTTCTTTTCCTTTTGTTATTATTGTATTTCTTTGTTATTGTACTGATCAAGAAATACAACCTTAAGTTTGATACTTCACAATTTGTTCATCCTCATTTGCCACAGGTTTGATTGTCTTCTCACTCTGTTATTTCACAAAGTAGTGCCCTAACACTCTGGTTTTGAAACCATCAGGATTCAGGTTCATTAGGTCTTCCCTCCAGGAATCCTTCCCCCAGAGATTATTGCCATACAAACCCAATCAACTTACTTAATAATAGTGAGTGGGGTTTAAGCAGTGCATTCTCCATTTTGCATTTATCTTATCTTACTCTATAGTCTTTATCCCTAAACTCCGGGTCCTCAAATCCTCTTTGTCTCTGAGAGCTGCACACTCTCAGCAACCAAGAGAAACACTCAGCCGTCAAGGTGTACTGAGGGGTGGGGGGGGGGGAGCAATCCTTAACAGCTGGGAGGGTTCCCCCACCTACTGATTGTTTAGACATCTTGGTGGACCTCTTGCCCGTTCAGACTTGCAGGGCATTCCCTGATTTTTTTAATATTATTCCTTAGGAGCCAACTCCCACTTCCAGAGCAGGAATGGGAGGTACGGCTACCCAGCTTGAGGGGGGGGGGGGGGGGGTCAGGGGCTGGGGATGTCCTGGGATGGTCCCCAGGCAGTCCCCCTGATGACCCCAAATTTTGGGAGTCAATTAACTAAGCCCCTAAAAACAAAGGCTATAAAATTTGGAATTTCAAACGTTTTTGGTGGATTGTCTCAGCTGAGCACCCGCACTTGAGGCATAGTTCCCTCCCTGCAGCTTCCAGGGGCATATTGCTCAGCCAAAATCATGTCCACCTAATGTTGGTAGGACTTTGATAAGTGTGTGTACATACCTACCCATCCATGAGATCCTCATGGCTGTTGAGCACAACCTATACCACCTACTTTCCAAATAGGATTACTCAGTCGCAAGTGGGAACAGCCTGTACCTACAGGCTACACACTACAAGGAGGATTCCTCCCAGGCAAGTTTTTAAAGCATGCACCTGCTTGCCAAAGAGGATTTCTTCCTGATAAATAGGTAGACTAAAGCCTATACCTATCTGGGAAGGGGAATTGGTGGGTACAGTCTATGCCAACCCAGGGAAGAATCATCATCAGTTGGAAGTACAGTCTGTATGGTACCTACTAGTCAAGGATGATACCTCTTGTTAAGACAACTCCCAAGTCTACCCGCAGGTTTGGGAGGTTTACTGCTTTGTATTTATTTTTATTTATTTTTTTATTTTAGCCCAAAAGCTTCTAACTCCAGCATTGATTTAGGACAAAATGCCTCTCAAAATCTCCAAAATTGGATTACAGGAGGGTTGAAAGATGGTTGACAGGTAGTCAAATGTAATTTTCCCTACATTTTGAAGTCACCCAAAACTTGTCAGTTGCTTTTCCCACCATGCAATCCTCATTCCTTTGTTGTATTCTTTAACTTTCACTTCCATAGAAAGACCATTCTCCTCAGGAAGAGGTCTGTAGTTGGAGGTTATCGAGGCTTTATTTGGAGGTCATGGAGGCCCCCAATTCATCAAGGTGAAGTGGAAATTGTGATTTATTGATCATTGTGCAATACTTTCTCCCTCTAGCATCTCCACTGATCAAGTAGTGAATTTTGAAAGCTTTGATCTGCTAGACTGTATCAAAGGAGACATATTGTTGGTAACAAACAATTCTTGGTTTATTTCTCATGAGGACAACTAGGTCTATTGTCCAGACCTTGGTCATCTTTGATAACAAACATGAAACCTTGAAAGGAAGAAAATCTTGAATGATCTGCTCCATTGCAAGAGACCTTCTCAAGCAGAACAATGCTACACATCTCTAGTTCAAATGAACATTTGAAGAAAGGCCAGTGCAAAGAATGACCAAATAATCACTAGAGTTGGTGGGACCTTGTTGTTGATAAAAGAAAACAGGTCATCTTGGGAGATTGGTCTATTTGAGCTTAATTTTGGTTCCCATTCTTTCAAATCATCGATAATCAAGCCAAGAAAAAAAAAGCAAAAAAGAAAAAAAAAAGAAAGAAAAGAAATTGGAAAGAAAAAAAAGCAAATGAAATGAAAGAAAAGAAAAGAATGGGGAGAGAAAGAGAGAAAGAGAGAGAAGCAGTCACACCGTGGTTTGTTACATCTCATCACCACTCATACTTGAACATGTCGGTAAGCTTAGCATATTGGGCTAGACGAGGGTTTGAAAATCACAAATGGAACCACATGTAGACTGACAATCTCTTGCAGCAAACGGAGACAGGAAGAGATCTCAAAGTAGGTATTTTTGTTTAGTTTGTTATGTAGGATCCTGACACAATGGTCGATAATTCTCAGTCTCCTATTTACGCTTCCTAACATCCGAGGATCCTTCAGCCTTCCCAGCATCACCTGCGACAGGCGCATCCGCAACCTTCTCGGCAGCCGCCTTGTCTTTGGACGTGCCGCTCTTGCTCGTTTTCTTAACTTTCTTGGTTGCAGGGGCACTTGAGCCGGTAAGAACTATGAATGAATCCCTCATGGTTAATTAGTACATAGCAACGGTCGAAGGCTATGACGGAAAATACTCACCCAGGAACAGGGCTCCAATGACAGTCGCGAGCAATCCTCCTAAAGCCATAGCGGTCGACGGCATCTGGTTGACTGCGGACCTGAAGTCAACCATAGCTAGGTCAATAAATGCTTTGGCGTGGCCGCGGGCAAATTGAATCGGCGAATCGGCAAATGTGGGAATGTCTTCTGTCGATGGCTTCGGTTCCTCAGGTTTGGTAGCATCCTCAAGTTTCTTTTCAACGGCAACCTTGACGTGGAATGTTTCTTTGGCAAAATCGGCGGCATCCTTTTCGGAATGTCCGATGTAGATCTGAACACGGGATGAATTAGAAGATGGGAATACGTGAGTAAGGATTTCGAAAAATTACATTGTAAGGAGGAAAATCTTACGTTGTCAAACAAGATATTCTCCTGCATGGTCCAGAGCTCGAAACCAATTCCGGCCATCGGTTCGAAGTTGGAGGGTGTCTTGTCTTCGAAGTAGTTCGGGTTTGAGATCTTTCGTGGTGACCAGACACCCTTGTAAGCTGGATTGTCGATCATAGGTGGGACCCCTGCGAGAGCAAAAATGATTTTCTTATCAAACTCTCATTCGCAGAACATTACTGAGCGAGGTAAGGCCTACATTTTCCTTTGTAAGCAGGGTTAGACTTCATCGGACGGACCCATGCTCCGCATCCTGGGGCATCTTCACATTTGGGGTTAGGAACGCTTGGGGGGACCCAATCTCCATCCTCTTCATCATCCCATTCCTCGGGCTTTTCGGCTTCTGGGTCGGGAACTGTAAGAGGTTCATCATCAAGCCATCCCGCAGGCTTCACAGCATCTTCATCAAGGATTTCTCGGGGTGCATCTTCATCCCAGTCATCAGGTTTCTTGGCCTCAGGGTCAACAATCTTGCTTTCCTCGACCCAATCTTCAGGTTTCTTGTCCTCAGGATCATCTAGACAAATCAAAGAGAAACACGTCAGTCGTGCCAAAAGCTGAGAAAGTCTTCTTCAATCACGCACCGATCTCCTTCGGGGGATTGACAGACGGTTCAAAGTCTTCCAAGAGACTTCCCTTGCTAACTTCTTCGTCATCTATCTTGATCGCAAAAGTTTGATCAGGTCGAACGATGAGGGTATAGAGCGATGTAGTTTTGACGTTCTTGATTGCAGGTGCGTTATTGAAGTGCTTCTCTTCATATTCGCCGGTCTTGGGGTTTTTGTGACGGAAGATGAAATGCACTTTGTTGGTGGCACCACATCGATCGGGACCAAACATGATCGAGTACTCGGTCTTGTCAGAGAATTCTAATGATCAGAACGGTCACGTTAGCGAAATCGAGCGGTACATTTGGTGGTACACGTTTTCGCTCGGAAAGGAGCTTGCCTTGGGCTTGAATACCAGTGGGGGATTCCTTGAGTAATTTAAGATAAGCTCCACCACACTCCAAACCATTTTGTAGTTTGACCTACGTAAACGTGCCGAGAGGTCAGCCTCAATGTGTGCTACATAGGACGATCTTGAGAGTTCGCCCGAATGGTTCTTTTTTGGACTCAGAAGAGGGTAAAAAACAAAGTGCATACTTCGTATTGTAGGACCAGTGTCTTGTCCGTGTTGTCAAGGATTTTAGAGAATGGGGCAGAGATGGCGTGATGGGCAGCAGGACTCTTGACCACCAGACCATGGTCACCTTCGATTCCTGGAAGCACAGTGGGGTCTTCCACTTCCCACTTTCCGACTGTAATATTGGACTCAGTCAGCTTGACAGTTTGGAAGAAAGAGGACAAATTGAGGGGACCATATATTCACCGTAGCTGAATGTTTCACCGCCGGTGCTTGTTTGCTTGGTTGCCTCTGAGGGATTCCATCGAGTTGACCAATCACTCGTGAATTGTTCAACAAAGTGACCTACCACGGATGATGGCTTGAAATTGTGTTAGGAAAGAAGGGATAAGTCGATCAACAATCGCCAGATGGCTTGCAGTTGTTAGCCCAGGAAGCTGAACTTACGCTAAATTTGGGAGTTTCTACATTTGGAGCCCCAGAGTCGGCATGAACAGAAAGAGAGCAAATTGCAGCGAGGGCTGCAGCGGTGCAGGTTGATCTCATCGAGGTCGACTCAAAATAATCGAAATGGAATTCTGAAGGTCAAGAAAGAGTCAGTAAAAGCCAAGTGTTTTTCTTCTTTTAAAATGGAAGGGATCGAGAGTAGCGATAGACCACAGGGACACTGGAAAAAAGATAGCTCTGGGGATGGTACAAAGCTTCCGGGTGAGGAGATAAAGATTTATAGAAGTGTTGACGAACCAAATTTGATATAGGATGGTGGTTGAAGATGGTTCTTGGTACGACGGAGTCGGTCAAGATGGAGGGGAGCGAAAAAAAAAGGAAAAAGATCGATGACGATTTAAGCAGTGGTTTTTGCCGTTTTATTTGGGCGCCTTTCTCAGGTTTAGATCAGTTTCAGCATGGTTTTGGACCTGGTTTTGACTTCCACGTCGTCAGCCGACGCGCTGGAACATCCACAACGATATTTACAGCCTCGGGCTATGTTATTGCACCGCAGCAGTTAACGCTTGGTCAAAACCCACAACACCGATCCACTCTGATCGACGAGGGGCAAGTGAGAATTCAGCGGGACATTAGCCCAGCCTCCAGCATTCCTCCACCGATGGACCACTGCTCGGGTTTGACGGGTTCGAAAACTCAGGACCCAAGCTCGTGCTTCTAGAAAAGAAAAAAATGTTTTCTGCCATCGCAACGTCAAGTCAGGAGACGTGGCTGCTTCATCCAGGGGACTGATCAGGGACAGAGAGAAAATCACGAAGGAGCAAAGGAGGAATCAAAAGAGTCGGAAACATTCCATGGAAAGTATTAACAGGTAAACCTGACTCAAAGCCTGTGGGGAAACACCCGTAGGTTTCCATACTGCCATTACCACATCCTTGAATCCGGAAATCGGAGGGTAAGAATACACTCAGCTCACTGCGAAAATCGTGTTATGCTGGCTTAGGCTGCACGATGCACTTCCGGTAACACCTTGCCTCTCCTGTCTTACACGATCGTGAATTGATGTATTGTCCTTGGCCGGAGAGAAATCTCATTGAATTTCTGGGTGCATAACCTTCCGCAGGGATGAAATAAAGAATATCTCAGCAGAAGAATCTGGCATAATGTAGAGCTCACTTGGTAGAGCTTGTCCACATCAATTGCGGTCCGGGCACGTACATACAGCTGAATTTCCTCTTACTAGAATGCAAAATTAGCATACCTTGCCCAATCTGAACCGTTTATATTCACTTCCTTCTTTCATGCTCAAGGTACAGGGAATGTTGATGGAGGCCATCCAACAATGGGCCGCTGGGCTTTTTGCCCAAAAAGCATTAGCTCAGAAACACTTTTTTCGCGCAGAAATCAAGTAGTTAGTGCTAGGGTGCATAACATAGCCATCTACGGGATTTTGATTTTCAATTCTTTCAGCAGTAATTGATTTGACAAAAAACCTGTACCATATAAGTGGTCAGTTAAAGTTTTTGCCACAAACAGAGATATTTTTGTTTCAAATTTGTTACCATTGGTTGAAACAGCCCCACCCCTGTTTGCAAAAAGCACTCTGGCATTCTTGTCTCCAATGCATCAACTGTACTCTACACAGCATCAATCTCATACTCTTCAAGATATCTTGCGCAATGACAAGGTGAAAGACTGGATTGGTGTACAGGTTTTCTGACAAAGTGATTTTTGATTCTGTTTAAGAAAAAGTGCAAAAAAACGGTTCAGAATTGATTTTCAAATTGGGAAGCGCTGTGGTACGCGTCAGGGTGTAAATGGGTTGGGTCGACCCGAAGCCGACCTGAGACCCGACGGGTCATGGGTCGGGTTTGGGCAGACTTTGTTAGAGATGGGCGATTTGCATCCGGATATCCGCGCGGATGCGGATATCCGGCTGCTTTTTCCGGCCATCCAGGCATCCGCATCCGCACCCGCACCCGCTGGCGGGTATCCGTCGGCCGCAGCGGGTATCCTCGGATACCCGCCCTTTAAACGGCTGGCAAGGGACCGGCTGGAAGGATTTCCTTCCAGTCGACGAGGTACATGTACCTCGTTGACCGGAAGGGGTTCTTCCGGCCGACAAGGTACATGTACCTCGCCGGCTGGAAGGATTTCCTTCCAGTCGACGTGTTACATGTATCTCGTCGACCGGAAGCCGGCGAGTACATGCCTCGTCGACTGATACGATTTCGTTCGGGCCGGCCGAGGAACATGCTTCGTCGAATGAAAGGAAAATACTTCCCGCCGGGCGCGGTACGTGCGTAGACACCCGGAAGGATATGCCTTCACCCCGCACAGTCACATGCAGTGGCGACG